ACATCCTATTTTTCTCAATCTTCGAGAGTGACTTGAGAGGAGCATCGGAGTCCTTCTTCAGTGGCCACTGGTAGCCATTGGCATCGAGGAAAGAAATGATCTCGGCAGTGGAGGGTTCGCTGTCGAAGGGACCCTTGGGAAAACGGAGGGCTGAGCGAAGTGTAGAAACTCCAAAATTTACTTCCATGCGATTGAAGGTAAAGTGGATTTGCTCTATTGTTCGTCCAGCGTCGTCTTGGACCTCAACGACCTCAGCAGTGTACTAGAACTGCTGGAGTATTTCCTTAACCATGAGAGGTTCATGGTTGAGAGCGTAGCCGAGCGAYGACTGTTTGAGAAAGTCAGCCGCCGGTTGGTAGAAGGCTCGAGAGGGTGGTATCTCCAACAAGGCAAGATGGTTATTGGCCTTGATGGAGACCTCGTCTAACGCAAAGTTGACGTTCTTGGCAGCCATCTGTAGTTTGTTAAAAAAAAACATAAACAGGAAGGTAAATGGTTTGAAAAGTACCAAGAATATGTGGTTAATAGAGTATAGAAAAAGTTTTGAAACAAGGAAAAACWTCTTTTGAAAAACCAGAGAAAAAAGAGGGTTTTTCAAGTAAAATGTGTATCAAGAAACAGATTTATTAATCAAGAAAGAAATGATTAATAATCTTTAGTTTAATGTATTAAGAGAACAAGGTTCTTAACAATATTAAACATATTTCTTTTAACGAAGAAAAAGAAAGAGAAGATTCTAACCTTTGAATTGAAGAAGAAAGGTTGAAAAGAGGGTTTTTGAAGATTGTTCTTGCTTTGGAGAAATATTAGCAGAGGTTCTACTAATAATTTTTGAAAGCGTAAAGAGAAAAGTGAAGAGGAAATCTCATATTTATAGGTAAGATTAGAGAGAGAAGAAATATGAGAGAGAAGAAAGACGACGATTCAAAAAGTGGTCATAATGAATAATGTGCCACGTTCTCATCCACGATTGGATGGCATTTAATGAGGGAGCATAATGACGAGTCATTTTGCGTGTCTCAAAGCGTCGGTCATGGGGAACAGAGAATGTCGTCATAAAGACGTGCAATTAACTATTTTCTTTTAAAAACAAAAAGGGGTTTTAAGAATATGAAGAGTCATTCAGTGTAAAGAAAAGGTACTGATATGCTTCATTTAAAACAATTTAACACTGAAAACGAAAAAATATTCAGTGATGGTTTTAAGACATCATATTTCAGTGAAGAGGAACACTGAAACTGGCATTTAAAAAGATTTTTGGTCACTGAAGAAAAAGAGTCGGTGATCAATTTAGATTTCTAAGAAAGTATAAAGATATACTTTATGTGGTGAGTGAAGAGAATCACTGAGACCACCTTTTAAAACATTTTATCACTGAAAAAGAGAA